GCTTCAAGCTAAAGCTGTAAGCTTTAAGCTACACAAACACACGTCTAGTATTCTCGCAATCAATTTGGGTTGTTTAAGCATAGAGGAATAATAGAGTTTAAATGGGTTTCTGACAATACGTGATTTTAGATATACAAGCTTTGTCAGAAACCTTATTACCGTGTAAAAAGTAAGAATACAGTAATAATAATACATTACATTTACATTAACACTGCACTGAGAAAGAGAGGGGTTAATACAGACACACTGACTGGACACTCCAGTACATTAACACTGCACTGAGAGAGAGGGGTTAATAGACACACCGACTGGACACTGCAGTACATTAACACTGCACTGAGAGAGAGGGGTTAATACAGACACACCGACTGGACACTGCAGTACATTAACACTGCACTGAGAGAGAGGGGTTAATACAGACACACTGACTGGACACTTCAGTACATGAACACTGCACTGAGAGAGAGGGGTTCATACAGACACACTGACTGGTTAATTAGCTCCATAAAGTTGCCCCCCTACAGACAGTACAAACGATTCGGGGTCAGACATAACTCAGCCCCCCTACAACGTCGTAGGGGAACCGGACCGGTCTCAATCATTAGTGCTGTGTTTGTGCCGGTTTGTTGAAAGTAGCGTTTGTTTCATTCCTGAGATATAGCGCCTTGTTTTTCTGGTGACCACGTGACCATGCACAGTGACTTTGACCTCGAGTAAATCCATCAACTGAGTTAAAGCACTCTGTTACCAGTGCGAGAGTAACAATTCTGCAACTTTGTTCCTCTGTTTGCCCAGGTACGGGGGGGGCGTGGTGGATTTTGCATTTAATATCATTATCTTCTATGTGTTTGTGTGAACAGGAAAATTAAATTTGTCTCCAATATCATACCCGAATCAGAGGAGTTGCGGGTGTAGACTTAAAAAGTGAACATTAGCAAAATTGTATATTCTTACAAAGAGGCTTTAACAAACAAGTCTTAATACCTCATAGCATTGTCCTTTTTTAAAAATCTGAAGAAGTAATCAGTTTCATACTGTCTCCTTCTTAAATAAAAAGGCATCAAGGGACGTGTGAA